GCGCGTATGCGGCTTTTTGTTTTGCCTTATTTTGATAGTGACAGATTTATATAAAAACTATTCTTCTAAACATATCAGGCATTTTATATAATGAACCAGAGTACCCTAATCTATACAAGATTATAAATTTTTTATTGGATCTGTGTTACATTGATTTCAAACAAGTATTTTTTTAAATCTCATTATATCAATTCATCATAAAGTCATATAGAATAGCCAAAGCCATGAAATACTGTTAATTTGTCTCGGTTTTGTTTCTCGCCAGCTGAGCGGACTGACTGCATAATCTGGTCACCCTGTTCCCATGTGTAATGAGAATATGAATCAATTTTCCTTAGGATGTTCTCCACGAAAGCACCCCTTCTGTCTGGCTACTAAACCTCGACAGCTTTATAGTAATTCAATAATTCATTCAAGTCCAATCCTTATTTTTAAACATGAGGAGTAAGTAATTGTTATATGCGCTCCGCCATCATATTGTACTGTTCCTGCTTGTGCCTTTCTTTCCATACAAGAGGTGGGCTCGCATTAAAAGCTTCTCTATGAGAACACAGATAAATGGGATATGATGAGTCGGATCTCATGCAAATGCATGACACGTGCGACGTCCCACTTGCGCCCCGGAACTCCTCAAGCCAACAGGGTAACACCACATCGCTACACCGGCCTCCCAGGGTCATCACTCCGGAGGATACGAAGGGCGTGAACCATGAGACTGACGCGCTGCCTCCTGCGCTACCGAGGCTTCAGGCCATGAACCATGTTTAAACCTTTCAAAAACTGTTAGTCTCACTACCATTGCGACGTAACCATACTACGAGTATATGACCAATGATTAAATTTGGATGAGCCGCCGACTTCTACCTGTAATCGGATGGCTGACGCTGCTACCCTCTGGGACACCACAGTTGGAAGCGAGTGGACTCTGACCTAAGGTTTGCACTAGGCTACCAAGCAGAGTAAGCCGTATAGAGTGCCTTTTTGGATAGTAGGAGCCGTGTTTATATATTTCCTGACCCCAAGGCCGAGCATGTCAGAGTGTAATTCTACGGCCTCAGGAGATATAAAGATGAGATGGGAAATGAATGGTCTTTCAGACTAACTTGGCTCAGTGTTCGAAATTACTCCTCTAGAAAGACTTTTGATGATAAAATTCGTTGCGCAATGATTTGTCATGGTAAAAGTTTAGTGGAAGTTCATTAAAATCTCTTTCTCACTAAATACACTCCCGAATGTGTTATCTGTCTATGCCTTTCGTTCCCGTACATGCTGTTTTAACCAGTCTGACAACAGCGAATGATTTATACAAAGAAGTAAATGGAGCATATACCCCGGCTTTTCCTTTCAGAAGGCCTTTAAATAGTTCTGTAGTGCTTCAAATATGCAAACTTTTATGTATTTTTTAAAATTTTCTATTTAAGAAGAAATATTTCTATTTAAATTTTCTATTTAAGGAATTAGAAGCAAGAAGAAAATTTTAAACTTCTATTTTAGTTTTCGTTGGGTCTTTCTTCTAAAATCGGACACTAGGTCGTTGTACAGCAAGAGTGTGAGGCACTAAACCTTTGTCTGTCTCGCAGTCTTGTGAGCGAGCATATCGTTTAATGAAGCCTCAAAGCTGCTTTATGAACAACTGTATGTAATTCGTATCATAGATATCCGTGGGTGCAAATAGCACTCCTGAGTTTTAATAATGAATTACTTCATTATTAATGGAATCAAGGAATGGCTTTTAGAAAATTTGATTGCATATCATCGGAAATATTCGAAATCGAATTTTTAAATATTATCATATTATTATGTTCTTTGGATAATAGCTGAATGCGAGAGCACTTGTAACTCTATTATTGTGAATATATAGTTACTGATTATTGGTGGTGCTAAGGCAACAAAAATCCGCGTAATATTCATAAACTTGCAAGACTAGTTTTGAAGGTTTAAATATAGAACCTTCTTCGTTAGTTGCGGAAGCGCAAGTGACGAAAGAAAAGCCTGCACTCAGGGATAACAGTGAGAGGAAGAAAGTCAAGCTACTAGCGCCATGTATCAATGAAAAATGAAAATAACTGTGAAATAATTTTCTTAAAATATGAAGTGCAACGACTGATTGCAAATGAGATCGTTAACTAAAACTGAAAGATGTTTTATGAATGCGAGAGGCCTCTAGAAAATTCCATTCGCAAATGGAAAATCGTTTTTAAATAATTTTGGCTGACGAAAAATGAAAAATGTGATTTTGGGACCAACAATGTTGGGCAATAGTGAATTTATGTGTTTCTTTTTTCCTAGGGTATGCCTTATGTTTCATAGAGTGAAATTAAGCTTATGTTAGTTTAATTAATGTAAATTAAACTACACTGGACAGGATTCCTTGATCACTTGCTAGGGTTTAATTTACATTGGTCAAACTAAGAGAGCTTAAAAGTTCTCGGTAAGGAACATGAGATATATGTTAGAAAAAAAAAGAAACAAAAAAAATTCCTCTATTGCCCACACAGTTGCTTAGAAAGTCACATTTTCCATTTTTATGTAGTCAAAATTATTCAAGAAGCATCTTCCATTGGCGGAGTGGATTTTCTAGAGCCGTTTTACATTCATAAAATTCTTTCACTTCTGGTTAACTATCCCAATTCCTATACGTCTTTACCCTCAGCTTTTAAGAAATTATTCCACAGCTGTTTTCTCTTTCTCATCGACAGATGGCACCGGTATCTTGACTTCCTTCTTCTCATTGTTATCATCTGAGCACAGGCATCTCTTTCGTCATTTGCACTTCTGCATCTGAAGAAGTACGTTCTGTATTTAAACTAGTCTTGCAAACTGCGCTGATAATTGTTGCCTGAGCATCTCCAGTAATCGTTATTCGGCGTGTTATTTTCACTTAGTTAATGCTTTACAGTAAATAGGCCATAAAACTGCGCCAGATAAGCCCATAAATTTGTATATTGTACATCTGAGCAAAACAGAAACTATAAATATTCCATCTTGTGTAAGCTGCAGTTACTTGCAGCGATTTCTGAATTGTACTCAAACATTAAGAATATAACATTATGTGGTTAATATAACAATGTGATTTTTGTTCTGCACTGCGCAATTGTAAAAAATTATAAGCTTTACAAATCATCAGATTCGTATTATATACTCCATTTTTTAAAATCAAGATTCAAAAGAAAGAACGCTTCTTTTCCTATTAATAGCGTTCCTGATAGCTGAATGAATGTTTTGATCTCTAATGATGGAAATACTGGGACTTAATTCCAAGCATAATTTCAGATAGGCAAACCTCCAGTTATCTGGATCGCTTGTTCTCATATTAAGCTTGCTATTAATTTCTTTACACATTTAAAAAATGTTCGTCTATTTCAGTAACATATAAATAAAATAAAAGGACTAGTTGCCAAAAAATACTTTTTCCACAATTAAGAGAGGTGAAGTTTTATTTTTCATTACATCCCTAAATTTATTAGCAACGTTAAGTTAGAAAATCGAATAATGTTCATTACAATGTTAGTTTTATTATAATTTGGCTTCAAATTTTTTTTTAATCACACAAATTAATTTCAGAAAGCTGGTGGCATAAGACACGAGCCATAATGTTATTGCTTACTGAACTCGGCAAACAGGCTGCGAGTGGGAGCAGCCACATCCTCAATTAGGATATTAGGAAGAGTTTTCCCTACGATTATGGAGGGATGAATTTCCTTGTATATTCATGAGAAACTCTGCAGCAGAACATACCCCAAAGTGTATTTGAGAGTATATTTTTTTTTTGGGGGGGAAGCTTATTTGTGCGTTAGCATGCAATTTTTATCAAGAACGAAAATGCAAAGCCTTGGGGGATGGGGGAAGCGTTTAATTCCACTCATCTGTACGACTCGTCCTGACTATTAGGAATATAAAATCGATATTAATATTGTTCCCTAGCAAACTGTCGACTGGTCTACGCAGGTTTCATTTTACCCACTGAACAAAATTTTGATGATAGAAGTTTTAAATGATGTTAAATATTTAAGTGCATATTATCCATACACCTAGTAATGTAGGTCATTTGCTTAGTCTATTATTTCGCCCTTCAACATGAAGTGAATATTTTTTATTAACGCGCTGAAATATTATTATTTTCACTAGGCTAAATTCATGTCATGGCAAAAGAGAAATCTCTGCCACTTCCTTTGAAGAAACCTTGAGCGCGAGCGATCCACTGTAAAAATGAAAAGCCGTGTATATAATAAATACATTTTTTTTTGGCTAAATTAAGTACAAAAGTGTCTGCGTGGCGTTAATTTACAGTGGGATAATATTATAGCAATTTTTTCCCGTTTCTGGAGTTACTATTTTGCACAGCTGTTTTAAAAATATACGACTTTAATTAAATGGAAAAGAAATTTACTTAAAACTACTTCAGGTGGAGTCTGAATTACGGAGATAAGACTGCAGCTATTTATAATTTTTATGACATTCAGTGTTTTTTAACTTTTTAGTACTTTTTTAACTGTTTGAAATTTTTGATGGCAAGGTCTTATACGAGATTTTAGACTGAAATCTGAACTTTTTAGATTGCAGTTTATTTTCTTTTTTTTTTAGTTCGAGTAGACAAGTGAATTGCTATATTATTTCAGACATGTGTGTGTTGTGTTAATAAAGCACAAATTTATTTAATAACCAACAGTTTAAATTACAAAAAGGGTAATGTAGTTAAGTTGACTGTTCAGTACAACTAGAAAGTCCAGAAATTTTTTTCGCGCATATTCCGTGTTAATTTATACGTTTTCCTTCTATGATCTTGTCGTATATTCCAAAATGAAAATCGCTACGTAACGCGCTGAGCCGCGTGTCCAGATGGAAATTTGCGAATTTTTTCTACGGTGATGTTTGTTACCCCCTCCCCACCCCTTTTTTCTGACATTATCCATTCATTGGCAGACGATGATTTTGACAGCGACGGTTGGCTTTGGCTCGAGATATTGTCGTCATATGTCTGCTATTGCGCTGAGAATGCGAGATTATTCTGCTTCATCAATTCAGCCAAGTGGGAGCAGAAACTAGCTTGTAGTAGCGGTTGCGCCGGCGCGCAAGCCCTCCTTCTTGTCCCATAATAGGTCAGATAACTGGCAGCCATTTTGCCAGATGAGTATATGTACGATGACCAAAGAGTACCGTGTTAGTAGGAGTCTCTCACGGTGGAGAAAGTAAATTATGCCTAAATTTGGTGTAATTAATTAGTTACGGATGTACGAGAAAGTTTCAACAGCGTATAGGTAGCCCAGAAAATATTTCGCTACATAATTTTTATACAGTGCTTTGCGGAAGAATACAATAATTTAGGCTCAGCCGTTTCCGTCGTAAGGTGTTAGGATTTGTTCTGTATAGCGATGGATCGGTCGAGTATATACTGTAATGTGTATTTGTGAAATATTTTGTTCTTTAAAAACCCTGCAATTAAAATTGTATTAGATATCTACACATCTGAGGATACCTCTGTCCACACACACAAATATGGGAAATGCTGCAACTACTAAAAAAGGCGATCCAGCAGAAAATGGTAAGCGGTATCAGTTGGTTTTGAGTAACTGAACTGTAATTCTTACCAGAGCATATCTAAAATTTGTATGATTTTACTAACATATACTAATAACAAACTAAAAATTTGATCTTGGAAAAATCCCTATACGTACGATTAACATGTCTATAACTGCATGATGCATTTCTTGCGTGTATAATCTTATCCAATTCAAACTGATTATTTCTTATTAATGCACAGATAAAGAAGCATATAAATATTCCTTAAAAATGTAAAATTTTCTGTGAAGCACATCATTTGTTTGCTGAAATCGTATATTAACAGTGGTCGGCGACAGATGTGTGTAGCTAAGAAAATAAACACGATATTTAAATACCCAGTGCTACATCATTGTCGTTTAATACGCTGAGTATATGCTCGAATATATTGTATCATGTATATAAACATTGTTCTGATTTGCATAATTCCAAACAAACCGTCGTAAACATCGAAACCGCATAGTGTTCCGTGTACAGCCCTTGTTTGTTTACTATTGTAAATAGGTAATGATGAACTAATACGATTTACAAACTTATAATGGGGTATCTGACTACTTGATAGGATTGCTGTTCATTATTTTAAATGATCTGTCATATAAAGGATACGTTAATCTCTAAAATGCTTTTTTTATTTGCTTGTTTGTTTGTTAGTCATATGTCTATGTCGTTGCACAATCACCCATTCATTTTGCAAAGGTGTAAAATAATTTATCTTGAAAAGAAAATATTCATTGTTTTCTCCTCTCCCCCACTTTTTTTTCTAAGCCATTTTAACTGCAGATTTAGCTTTCCCATTTTTACTGTTCAGTATTTTCATCATTTTAATTCACAGTGTAATGCGTGATAATATGCCGTAATTATTTTCCCTGCGTGTAAGGAAATAAATTTTATCTTATTAAGCATATAAATAATATACAGCTTCTGTTATAGTATGTCTCATTGGTTCTGGTTCATTGATTCATAAGGTATTAAACAAAGTTGGCAAACTAAGCTATAGTGCTGAATTTAAATGCTTAAAATGACATCTGAACTAATAAAATCAGCAAGTTTTAAAATTAAGGTGTGGGGACTAATTTGACATTCATTTATTCTAAATGTTAAGTGAACAAATGTGTATCTGCTCTTGCTGAAAGAAATAGTTGTTTTATTATATATTCTTTTGAAGAGCTGAGCATTTGGAAATGGGGCTTATTTTTCAGTTTGATAGCATAGCTAGCTTAATGAAAATTTTATATCCTTAGAACATCTCATTTATAAGTGTTTAAGTTTGCATAAAATTAATTGTAATATTTATGCATTTAATAAAATATTAAATCTTTACTTTTTAGGGGCTTAAAAGAGGGATGTTAAAAGAATCTGGTATTCTAATAGACCGAAATTTTTAAAACATTTTTAAGGGTGAAATTGTTACATTCACAGATTAATTACAACAGAAAAATTTGCAATTTATTACACATCACATTTGCATTTGCCTCGTATAGTTTTTAGCATCAGCTAATTAAACAAGAGAAGATGGTATTTTTTACCTTAACTACAAGAATAATAAATTTCATTTTTTAGCTATTTATAATTTTGATGTATAGTAAATGACATTATTTTTCCTTTTATCATCTGTATAGTATTGTACTGATTATGGATATATGTACAGAAAATAGTTTGAAGATTCATATTACAGATTTTTAGTAAAGGGGGATTTTGTAGTGTAAAAGGCTGTGCAGTCATATTTTAAAAGTAATTTACTCCAACACTTAGTATTAATCATTTCCCTCCTGAAATAAGAACTGTCTCACTTTTATCTTTAAACAAATTTCAAAAATTGTGTGTGGAATTTATGTAATGCTTATGTTTGATATTTAAAAAAAGGGATAATTTGATGTAAAATTTGACCTTTGAAAAAAGGTTAATATAGTTTTATTCCATGTTTTTCAATGAATTGGAAAAATGTTACTTGAAAGGCAAATTAAGCTAGAGGTAAAACTTCAGAGATCATTTTCCAGTTCTGAGCTGAACTTCCCTTTGCTAACTTTAATGAGAGTCTGGGTCTGTTTCATGTAATTGTAACAGTAGCTACATCTACTGAAATTTTTTCAGTGTGAAATATTATATATGAATATTATGTGAACTGGTCTCTCTTTCTTTATTAAAAAGTGCAGATTTTATTCTTTTTACAATTGTTGTAGAAACATATTTTACAAAAGCTAAATAATGTGCAACATATAAGCCCTTTTTTATGCAATCTAGTTTGTAAGCTGCTAAATAATATCTCAGTATGCTTCCTTAATAAAGTCAGAATATGTGCTGTTTTAAATTAAACTCCTCCTCCTTCTGTCTGGCATTTTTAAATTCTTATAGAAATTGCAGATTATGTTTCAACACATGAGGAAATGCTAAAATAACTTTTGTTACTTAATAATTTTATTTAAAGAGAAGAAAATATATTCAGTTAAAATAGAATGAATGTATCATTTTATTTAAATATTCCCAGATTTGCTTGTAATAATGCAGGAGAGGTGCAATCTGCATTAAATACTATTAATACTTCTGAGTAAATCTGTATTTGCCTTACGAAACTGTGGTAAATTTGTTGAACTTCTTTATACTCATTAAACTAGATAGTGTCAGTGATTAATAATGATTTTATCTATGGTTTAAATTTGTAGGTTGTATCGCATTGATTATATATAGAGATAGGATAAAACTTCATGTTTTATTTATTGTACAGAATACAATAAATTGTTTTGTATGAATTTTTTATTCTTAAAATTTAATATTAGAAGTTTATTCGCTAACCTAAGATCTTGAACATTTTTTAAGCTGCACGAGATTGAGCAGAAGAAATATTATAGAAACTTTTGTGTTATAGAAACATTTCTAGTAAATATCTCTTTTGAGCTGTAATTTTACACAGATGCCTCTTTTGCAGCTTTGTTCAAAATCATCTGAACTTTGATTTCATAAATTAAATTGCCCTTTAAAAGTAATTCTGGAATCTTTTCGGTTGACAGAGCAGTTATAAATTGTGATTATTATTTAAATGTCGTTACATTTTGAAAAACTCGCTGGATGGAGAGGAAAATAACTCTTGATTCCTTAATTTATCCGCAAGGATGTATACGAGATACATTACACTCCAGTTAATGGAAAATGATTTGTACTCAATAACTCCTATTTTTCGGCCCATCAGCAGCTGAGCGGTAAAGTCCCTGAACACTGGTAGTTCGGTCCAGGGTTCGAATCCTGCAAACGGGCTGTCTGCATGGGCGTTTTCGTGGTTTTCCTCATGTGTAACATCTTAATACAATCTAATGTCCCTTAGAAAGTCCTCCACAAAGGCATCCCTCCCTTCCATGGCACCTTATGGCAGAACACATTAATAATAATAATACTCCTATTTTTCTGAATAGCTCATTATTTTTATTACCTTCTTTGTAAGTTCACATTTATATATTTCCAAGTATTTCTCTTTTTTTTTTTTTTTTTTTTTTTTCCCAGTTAATTTTGATAGAAATAATTCCAGGGTATCTGGGATATCAAAAAGGTATCTTTCTGTTGGTATCTTTTTTTTTTTTTTTTTTTTTCTAATTTTTAACTCATTGAGTGACAAAGTGGGAGCTTGATATTTTTTATTGACAAAAAAAGATCACTTATAAACTTGAAATCCTTAGCCAAAAAATATCTTAAAATACAGTTAGTAGCCATCATATTGAAATTGAAAAGGATTGAGTAGATTAGACTTTTCTGATGCATATGAAGGTATTCATTGCCATATTAGAAAACACAAGGACTAAATGGAAGAAGTAATATCACAAACTTAAATGAATTTGATCTCATAATGATCCTGTTTTTAGGAATGTTTCCAGTATAATTAATTTTTTGTCATTGCTTTTTAATCATTGAGTTTTAGAAATTGTTATACAATGTACATTCAAGAAACTCGTCACTGTGAACACATAATAATATTATGCACATGAGACATGCTTAAAAAATTTATACACAATACATACTCCAAAATAATTAAATATTACTGAAAATAAGAATGACACATTATAACTTTATTGAAATATATAAAACATTCACATGCATTCCTTGTATGAACTTTTGGTCTTCAGTTTTGTCAGGTTTAATATTTTTGGCAAGGAGATTTTAAAAATAGTTTTTATTCTTTTTGAAATTATTCATGAAAATTATTTGGTAAATTTAAGTGAAAATATGTAATTAGATTATTTATTTTCTTCTTATGGTTTAATGCTTTACATCACTTTTGATATTTTATCTGCAGTCAAATTAATTCTGTATTTTTATTACATTTTTTATATATTTTACGCAAATAATTTTTTAAAACTGAATGTAAATAGTAAATTTCATTTGCTGTCTAATTTAAGAAATTTTGTGATGTATCAAACATAGCTTCAAAACAATCTTAGAAACAACAATCTTGAAAGGCGGATAAAATAGATTTGGATGGTTTTCTGGAATTTTAAAATTTAGAACATTAGTGAAGAGTGTAAAAAAAGTTATGTAGAAAAGCTTTAAATTTTGAATTATTATTCTTTTTTAAATTATAATAGCATATTAATTATACAAAAGTAGCAAATCTGATCTGATCTTAAAAAAAAGGGGGGGATATTTTTTTTTATATAGCTGCAAATATAACCCTCTGAGCGGCATGACTGGATAAAGCCAGTCATGCCGCTTGTCACTTGATACTTATTAGACTTAAGATGTTTTTCTTTCTTACTTTCTTTAATAATGTAAATGAATGTAAGTTTATGAAAGTAGAATCTAAAATTAATAATTATATAATTTTAGCTAATACAGTCAAAAGTCGTTAATCCGGACTCGTCGGGACTTCGGCGATTCCGGATTATAGATCATCAGTTTAAATCTGGTAAGATGGCATGCAGAAATTACAAAATAAAAAATATGAAACCATAATTTATGAAATAAAGAACAATTATGATTTAAAGGGTATCAAAATTTACA